TGAATGAATGAGGGAATGTATTTTGATGCATCATGCATCATTAAATCGAAAAGGAAACGCTTTATTTCAATGCGCATGACTCACTTGGTCCTACAATACTATTGTATATTTTCGCGCTTGGCATATTTTGGTCCTCATATGGACCCTTAGTTCATGTGACAGTCAGCTGACTCTACCCGGAAACGTTGAGGTAGCAGACAACAACAAAAATACAGCTTCATTGAGCAAACTTCGATTTAAGTTATTCCCGATTGATAAGAATGGAGTCGACCCTCGAACAGCATCTCGATGATACGTAAGTTAAAACCACTCTAGCACTGAGTATATGTTTTACGTTTTTGTGACCTTTAAAGCGACTTTCGCTCCTTCTGTGTGTTTGTTTGTGGCAGCATGAAGAATCCAGCAGTGGTTGGTGTGCTCTGCACGGATCAACAAGGACACAACCTGGGCTGTAAGTGAGGAAACCCCAAACTAGTTCACGTTAACTGGCCTTTTACTTGTCAAAGTGCACTGGTGTCACTGCTCAGATGCTCAAAGTTATGGGTTATTTAGCCATAAGTCATTACGCTTTGGATGGGAGAGAGAGTACCGAGTGGTGTTGTTTTCACGAAAACATTAAGTTCTTATTGATCAATACTGGTCTACAAATAAGCATTTAAAGTAATACATAAGACAATATAAAACAGATTCAAGAGCAAGAGAATAATTCAAATAAACAAAGTAAAAACACAAGTATTAATTAAAAAAATCCACGTTAAGCTCCTTCATAATAAAAAGGTTGTGGGCATTTCTTTGGAAATGTGGGGATTTTTTTTTTTTTACCTGCAATCTGTTAATTGTTGAAGCTCAACGGCCATACTAAAATTTCTACCTAAAGCATTGATCATAATGGGTTAGTGACGTTTGTCACTGCATGAAACAGAAAGACGCACTTACATCATTATGAAGGGAAAAAATATTCAAAAAGAATAGAAGCTTCTCAACTTAAAATTGTAGTAAAACTATATTGTATACTGATCTGAGTATTAGCATTGTACATACTGTATTTGTAGTCAAATGTAATCATTAGTTTTAGAATAATAAGTTCTAAGTTGTTTTTAAACCATCCACTACTAATACATTATTCTAATACAATAATTAAAAAACTTTAACTATGTTGATGGAGAATAAATTTTCATTCTGCATATAAGTCAAGTGAGAATGAAAGACAATTAATTATGAAAGCTGAAATTTTGGGAATTTGGTGGTCTGCAGGATTCAGGTGTGTGTTAACACACAATGCCACAATCTTCCCATGAGTGGATGTCTCATGGTAAATGTGTTAAATGTTAAACATCATGAACAAGATGGCTGCAGTGTGCTCCACCGAGTCCCGTGAAAACATTCTTTTTTTACATGACTGAGAGTCAGCAGCCTGCTCCTATGCTTGCTCTATCAAGGATTAATAAATGTTTTAGTGATCCCTTGATTAACTTTGATGTAGTTCCTGTAAAAATCATCCAAACATGGGTATAAATGTTACAGATGGTATTTTTCAAATGTACAGTGGTCCCTCGTTTATCATGGGGGTTACGTTCTAAAAATAACACGCGATAGGTTAAATCCGCGAAGTAGCCAACTTCATCTATAATAATTATAAAAAATAATCTCCAGTATTATAGAATGAAACCAAAGGCACCCGCGGTCGCCCTTGACGGTGCAAAACGTTTCGTTGACATTGTTGTGTTTGTTGGGGAGAAAACATACAAACATACAGTACAGCACTTCAGAGTCACACTGCTAGCGATTGAAGATTTATGTAAATTTGACAAGCTGAACGATTGATTGACAATGGTCTATAGCCAATCAGAACGCAGAACACAATGCGCTGTAAAAATAAATAAATAAAATAAAAACCATGCAAAATTGCACAAAAAAATCCGCGAAACAGCAAAGCTGCAAAAAGTGAACCGCGTTATAGCGAGGGACCACTGTAAATGTAAACGTTTTACTAGATTTTCTCTGATACAAAAAATTGCTGCTCTTTAATAACAAATTGTGTGTCGTGTATCTTTCATTCAAAAACATAATTAGCATATTGATAGTGGTATAACTCAGCTGGAAGGGTTATCACTTACACCAGATTATGTGCTGCTTTATCAGCATTTGCGGATTTTATTACATTTGACCAACAGACTTTCATATCATTGAAATACAAGTAGACTCTCTACTCACAGGCTCACTTTTCACTGCGATGGAATGTCCACTGTGTGATAGTTGTGTGTATTTGAAGTATATGCTTCAAAAGAAGTTCATTAAAATATTATGAATAAAATCTTGGCCAAACAATTTTGCTGTCTGACTCTCTGACAGCTTTCTGTATTGATTTGACTTCTTCCTACATTTTAGTTCAGTAGATTCACAGCACTCTCATGTCTGCGTAGTAAAGTAGCAGCCACTCAACTTACATACAGACTGTCTGTCCTAACGTAACAAAATCTACAGACAAATCCAACTAATTATCCACATAATGCTGTAAAATGTTCATTTTTGTTCATCTTACAAAAACTGAAGTGCAGAAACAGCAAATTGTGTTTTCCAGGGTTTTCTTGACCAGGTGCAGAAACTTTCTGGATTGTTGAAGTTAGTGTGCTTGTCCAAAACCGTGGATTTGTTCCTTCAGGTGTAGCCTGGTTTTCCTTATCAACAAAGAAATGTGTTAAAATCAAAAAATGTTGGTTTGGCTCCTCAGCTAGAAGCTAGACAACATGAGTTTGTTAGATGCACGATGACCTTAAAGAGAAATTAATCAACACTGGTTTGAGTGTTTTTTTTTCTTCTAAAAAAAAGTCTTTTATTTCCAGGCCGCGGGTCCCTGTCTGATGAACATGGCGGTGTTGTGTCCGTTTTGGCCAAACAAGCTGCAGCTCTCACAAAAGACCCAACAGACACTCCAACCGTATGCCTGGAGTCCGAGTCGGGGTGAGCACTGACACGACTTTTGTCTTTTTGGTTTTTGTTTGACTGACTTTCATCTCTCCTTTTTTTCTCCATCTCAGTGAATTCAAGCATTGCACTGATTAATATGCAGGGAGATGAGTACTGTTACGAAATCAGTTTCACCCCAGTTCTTTTTATTCCTCGGGCATCCAGAGACGGCACCGGAACTCAGTAGTCATTTTCACAAAACCTTTATTCATCTTCATTCATCTTCAGTTAAGCATGCATCTTCTAGAAGGGAGGACATGCAAGGCCGGTGTCCCTCTGCAGATCTTCACTCCTTTGTCTGTGAAACACAGTTTTGTAGAAGCGACTCCATCATAAAACCACCATGGTGTGCTGCAAACTCTGTGTCTGTGTGTGTATGCACGAGCATGTGAGTGCCTGTGTGCCCGCGTACCTGTGTGTCTATGTGAGTGCACGTGAGTGACTGTGCATGTAGGTGTGGGTGCGTCATAACAGTCAAAGCACTGTGTGTGTGTGTATTTGTGTACGTGACTTCCTGCCGGTCATAAAAGTAATCTCCTCACCTAAGCTACACCAAATTCCTCTACACAACAGAGAACACAGAGTTAACATATTACAAACACTGAGACCGCCACCCAGGTCTCACCTGGGGAATTTCCACTCAACATTAACTTCTCTTTGTCTTACTTTCACAGCTCAAGTGGGGGAAAGTCTCCTAGAAATCTACTCCTAAGTTTATGACACACTCAGGCCTTTATTACATCGAGGGCAGTGTTAGTGTCTCTACAATAATTCTACATTTCTGAACTCTAAAGTAGGCTAAACATATCTTCAGTACCTCCAAAAAACATCTGAAAACAGGCCAAAATCAAATGATTAATTTCTCTAACTGATCACAGGCTTGACAAAAAGACTTTATTTTTGCAGCTCTGCTGCCCCCTTCTGGTGTACCATTAACATCAGCTCTCAAAATACTTGTGACCATAAAGGAGAAGTTATTAAAAATAAAATTAAGACTTTAAAGTGATAGGATAGAGACAATGGATGAGCCTGTTTTTTGTTGTTATTGTTTTTTTAACTGTTTCCTTTTTAAAGGTGGTTATTTATTTTGTTCTGATTATTTCTAGAGTTTGATCATTTGTAACCACTTGATAAGAACAAATTTGTGGTTTTGTGATGAAATCTAGGAAGTGGTGCTTTCTTTCTGTGCTAGTTTACCTCGTTTACTGAAATTTGTGGTAATGATGATGACAAAAAATTTTTTTTGAGTAATAATCATTGATTGATTGCTCATACTGATCATCAGATTAGCAGTGTACGACTGACAGGTTGAAAAAGATTTATCAGTCAAAGGTGGAAACATGTCATAGAGAAAAACAGAGCATTTCCTGAACTTTGTCACCTTTGACTAATCCCTGTTTGTCAGTACAGTTTTTGTTTATCAGCTCAGAGTTTCTACATTTTTTTTTATCTTTATTTGTTCTTTAGGAACATTCTGGTGAGGAGTCACGGGACCATCACAGTAGCAGTTCATAAGATTGCATCTTGAAGACAACCGACTCGCTGAGGATTTTTTTTCTCTCTTTTTGTAAAGAAGTGTATGCACATTAAGTTTATTCACGCAATCCAAAAACTGATTTGCTGCTTCTGTATATTCAGACTCCATATTTCAATAAGAAGATGCTTGTTCTTTAAATTGAATGGTAAATGCTGATCTGAAAGTAATACTGTTACTTTGATATCGTTTCCAAAACCAGCTCCGTGCTTTGTTATATCAACGCTCTCTGTTCCTGTGTCTTTTTGATTTCAAGGCTGTCGTACACAGAGTAACAACCCCTAATAAACTTTAACTTGACTTTGAGATTGCCTAATGTGTGTTAAGTATTCATTGTTTTCTCCTTTGCTCAGTCTTACATGGTTGAGCCATTTTCTTGGAAGCTGGATGATATTTGGTGCAGAGGTGAGAACAAACTGGTTTCAGTGTTTGCAATCATTAAACGGAGCTGCTATAAAGCCCCAGTCGTTTTGAGAGTAGGTGCAGGTGGGAACAGGTATCATCTGGGTGCTCTCCTCTCTGTAAGAACTTGCACTGATTTTGTAATATTGCTTGCAGGTGGCCTATTTTTAGATATAGTTCCCGCCTATCCTGCTTTCTATAGCACATGGTCTCCTATTCACATACTAGACCGTGTAATGTGAGTAAAGTCTGCCTCGCTCTAAGGTTCTGACCGCAGAGGGGATTTTTTTTTCCTTCCTAGTCTCCGAGCTTTCAGATTGGGGCTCATTGGTGCTACAGTCACGTGGTTCTCCTCCGCGAAGGCTTTGCCCTCTGCAGCTCCTCGGCACAGAGAGCGATGCTGAGGCTGAGATGTGAGATGCAACTTAGAGGGTCCCGCGCATAGAGGCAAAGTTATGGCACGATCATCCCCGGAGAAAAACGTCCCGCAGGAGTCTCTCTGTGCCGAGAAGTCCCTCAATGGTGACGCGCACGTCTTTCATGGGCGCAGAAGCTCTGAGCGAGAAAACCCCAAATTACGCGTCAAAACAAACTAGTTCAAAGCGGGACAGAAGCAAGTCGACGGCAGGGGGAAATCAAAGGTACGAGCAGCTTTTTCTTTAACTGCAAACACGTTTCAACTTACTTATTCCTCAGATGAGTAAACGAAATGTTCGGATTACATTTTAACCGGATTTTTCTTTTATTGGTAAAGATCTATGTTCTCCCACACACAAAGCTCAGACACGGACAGAAATATAACTGTCCAAAAACAGACCGGTATCCTCGTTGACCCATGAAAGTTATTTCGGGGTTAAGAGAGTTTCACCTAGATTGCGTCAGTCCAGGTTCGGGCCTCTTTTTTTGGTCTGGTGGATAAGAGATATAATCTCGTGTCAGTGCCATCCCATGTCTGCCTGAATTTTCACATCTGTTTGAGCGACCCTTCTCTTCACTTCGCAGCGGTGCTGAGTTGAAGTGAGCGGCGCAATGCAACCGGCCTGCGAAGTGAAGATAAGGACTGGCTTGCAGCTACACAAGGTAAGACCACCCTGTTTTTTCCTCACTATAATACGACTGCAAGTCAAAGGCTTGCTCCATAATCTCACTATTCCTGATGTAGAAGCAAGACTGCTGGATGATATGGGTTATTTTGATTGATGGGACCAAAAGTCATAAAGACAGTGTCACCAAGCAATAATAAACGAAGTATAATTAAATTAACTTTTTTGTGAGTTTTAGCAAAGTCGTAGTTTATGTAATCTCCTAGGAGATGTAAACTCCCATTTAATCTCCCAGGAGAAAAAAAAGTTCAGCTATCGATGCATAATCCACACAAAAGTATGTCACTGGCAGTGAACAGGCCTAATTACTAATACTTGTGCTTTGTTAACACTTTATGTTGACTGGAGTACTCCAAATAAAACATGTTATGATGAAGTGGTTGACTTGTTCCTCTGCTGATCACCTGGAGACTATGAATAGGACTTTGCATCTCCGGTCCAGGGGCGATTCCGGTGTGGTTCCAAAGCCCTGTGTGCATATGAAAAGTAGCACAGGTGACCACAACTATGTCCATCACTATTTTTTATTTTCACAGGTTTTGCATACAAGGGCATGCCTTTTACTTTTAAGTGGAATTATAAACAAGCAAGTCTCAGGTCCCAAGCTGCACACGAGATGATAAATCTATAAGAAGAAACTTAATGCGAGATAATTAATAGGGAACAAGGTTAAAGGTTGATCTAGCATGTTTAAGGGTTTTAAATAATCTGAGTTGTCTTTCTCACTAATGCAGCTATAGAACACTTTTGGACCGGATGACTGTTTTTCACTAACCTAGTACTTTTAGGTCTTCTATAACTAAATATTGTTATTTACTAAGTCTGCATTCACAGAACAGTGTTCTCTTAGTTACTGATGGTGACTGTAGCTAGGATCATTGGAGTGAAAGATCAGATGCCGAGGCTCACTAATCGCAGGTTTGACATTATGCTGTGCGCAAAGATCACTAATTTAATCATTCATTCATTTAATCTTGAGTCTATAACATCATTAATCTAGTAAATACCTCATCCATACCTGAAAAAAACTGAAATAATTCTTGACTTTTTATGTGACCTCCGCCTGGAAAATGCATCTTTTCCAGCCTGAGGAAACACAAATAATGAACAATCAAATCTATGCAGTGCGTGTTGGATAAGCCTGTTAATGACAGAAGGGAAACTGTGAAACTTAAAGTGCAGGACACAGAAAGTCAAATCAGGTATGTTACTTATCAACTAAAAGCAAAACGTCTGCTCTTGCCACACCTCTGTGTGCCACACAGAATCTTGGTCGGATAGGACGCCCATCATAACAGACACATTCACAGGATGTTCTTACTGAGGTTAGCGCTGTGTTCTTGTTACCTATTTTCCATCAAATAGGTTGCAAGCGAAGAAGGCAAACATCTGTGTAAAAGCAATGTATTGATGAGTGCATCTTTCACATTGAATTGGTCAAATGCACTCTATCTTTGCTACAAACAGCATTTCCAGTGAGGGTGCAGTGGACTTTTGACTTTTGGCTTTACAGTGTTGGCCTGTAAAGCTAAAAAGTCCACTGCACCCCACTGCACAAAGCGTCCCTTTCCATTATGAAAATGCTTTCAATCCCCAACGAGAGCATGCTGTTCCCTGCCGAGTTAGAGGGACACGTCTTCCGTCAAATCGAACCCACCTATGCCCTATTCACTCCACCTCTAAAGAACTGCCCCAAAATTCATTGGGTTCTCATTTGCTCATGTCTCCTCTCCCCTTTATCCCCCCCTCCCCCCCCCCCCCCCCCCCCCCACCCCTCCAGTTTCATGAAATTGGATGCAGGGGTGGTTGCATAATGCTGCAAGCAAAGAAATGGCAGCCCAGCTTTTCTCATTGGCTGAAACAACTTTAAATTACCCATTTTTTTGTATGTATGGTTAGTCTACAATGTTACTAAAGCATGTAATGCTGTATTAGTGACACTACAAAGACTGTCATCTATTTTTCTATTGTTGTGATAGTGCAAACAGACCTGCTAGTCTGGATACTGTTTTAGTGACTTCACCTTAAACAAATATGGATATGAACCTGCTGCAAGCCACTTGTGACTGCTTGGAATAGGTTGTGATTCTGCCATGGACATGCCAGTTTATAATTACTTTGATAACTGTGTTGTCTTACTGTGAGCATTTTACACTTATAGACCTGGTTTAAAGACTTAATGTATATAATTAGATGCGTTTTTCTTATTATGAACAGGCCCCGAATTAATGTAAGCTTAACGTTAGTCTGATGTATACAGTTATACAGTATCCAACCAGCTACATTTGTTGTGCCTGCCAGCAACTTATTCTTGTCCTGTTTTTTTTCCTTTTACATATAGCTTTTTGTGCATCATAATGAAGACTGTCCTACTTTTTTATATGGATTGGCTGCTGTCTAGAATCACTTAAAACGATACTACAAAGGAAAAGGAATGCGCGTGACTACTTGATGCCACCTAGTAAAATAGCTATTAAAGTTATACTGTATACATTATTGTATGGACCCTCAGTAGTTTTCCTACCTGTTGCTATAGAAGTTGAATAGCCCTGCTGTCAGTCAGCACTGATAACAGATATCTCGATTGTGCCCCTGTTTTCTGTAAACAGGTCCTTAGAGAACTGTACAACCGAAGGTTTGAACATACGTCATGCATACATAGGTTGCATCCTCATGAGTTTTGGGTAAACCTAATGGAAAAATAATGAAAAAAGATCAATTTCATTAGTCAATGCTAAAATAAATACAGGTTGACCTTTTTTGATCAAGTATCGCTTTTTATTAGGGGCCACAATTAATGGCATTTGGGCAAGGTAATTACCCAGCTAAGGGTGGAAGAAGGCAAAGTCACACAGGTAGGGGACGAGGAGTAGGTGTCAGGCAGGCACCCACTATCGGTTCAGTCTACGTCATAGCCGTGTCTGGTCTAAACTCCGCTGCAGGTCCATATATCAAACGATCACTGTGGCATTACTGAGAGTTGAAAAACTGTCTAAAGTCTTTCATCTTTAATAAAATGATCAGCGTTCTGCTCTACCAGGTGTAACAATTGAGTTTAACATCCAGGCATCCATGAAAACGGAATTTATGACATTTAACGGAGTTAGAAGTTAGCAGGGAGTTAGCTCGCTAGCTTCTATCTAAATACAATATAGCATGTCCTGACTGCGGGGTTTTGGAAACAAATTAAAACATACAGCTTTCTTATCACTTCCAGCATAAATGAAGACAGAAAACTAAACAGCAGTGACGTTTGTAGGGTTACTGAAGTTTGGCTAGCTGGTATATAATGATGTGCTACGTGACCGCTAGCGACATAGCTATGTTAGCATAATATAAACAAGCTAACTTTTTTTCCACTCGATAAAAGTTAACGTGAGTTTTCTCGGTGGTCAGAAACAAATGTAATCGCATGGCAGGATGCTGTAAAGGACCAACTTCAGCCAGGGAACAACTGAGATAATTCATCTACAATACAAAGTTAGTCATTCATAACTGCTGCATGGCTGGGCTGTAGTACATCCTAAGGTTTAAAAACTGAGCTTAATAAATGATTAGCGGTAATAAAAGCGAGGAGGTCAACAGGATCACTGACTGTTTAGGAGCTTTTTGAGATCAAATAGAAAAATACATAGCATTAAACATGTTAACAACATAAAAGCATATTAAACGCAGACTACTTAGACCGGAAGTAGGATTCGTCGCTCATCACGAACAACCGATAATGAGGGCACAGAGATCACGTGGGCATTTCTTTGTGCACAGAGACACTGACACAGCAGCTGAGGCCAGCCGTGGCTGGGAATTTGAATCGGTAGGCTCTCAATTTAAAATATTTTTAAAAGCATGGCATTAACATTGAAACTGTAGAACCATTCAATAATTATTTAAGTGCATAACTTTAAATGATAAAAGTGTTAAAAATGTGGTTAAAAAGTGTATTTGGTGAAGGAACTTTAGAACCTTGGTCAAGAATGAAAAGTTTGGTTAAGTTTTTTGAGAAACAGGTTTTTAGTTTTTTGATGTATTATCAAAACAATTCCTCTCGTCTCTGACAGAAGAGAGGAAAGCGCTCCAGTTCAGCAAGTTTTAAATGAAGGCACTATTAAAGAAGCCAGTTGTTGTTTTTCCCACACTTGATGTGCCTTTAACTGATTAATAAATGGTAGTTTATGTGTAGTTATAAGTAACATACCTCCTCCTTTTAAGACATTTGCCCTTTTTAACATGAATTCTGCGCTAACCTGCTTTTCATTTATACTCCATCCCTCTTTCATTATGGCCTACATATGGAGCTCGGTGCTACCCAGTTCAATAGAAACATCCTTTGATTTTTTTTTTAATCAAAATCTTTATTTTTTTAGAATACTTTTTGGATTCAGTTTATTTTGGATCTTGTGGTCAAATGAAACCCATTTTACAGGCTCTATCTGACAGTAGGAATGCAGCACAGGGAGATCATTTCACCAATTTCAAATCATGGTACTATAAATATTACAGTGATAGAGTATGTTCTCAAACTATCCTGTTTTTCAGACTCCTACCCAATCAAATGTTTTGCCATATGTGAGTAAAGTGTGTTACTATTTTGGAAGTGTGATCTTTGTTTGACCCACTTTTTGTACAATTGCTGCACCGTGAAGCTGATTTTCCTGTATTAGCCCTAAGCCTTTAGACACAGCCCACTTAAGTAAGAAAGTTATTATTCGCTGTTTAGCCTGTAGCTATTCACCACAAACTACACATAGTTAACTCTAGTCTTACAGAGCTTTATATGTCTCTTTCAGTCATAGTTTTTGTCAAAATGCTGACATGCATGACTTTAAAAGGACCACGTAACCTCCGTTTCACAATTTTCTTAAAAACCTGTTAAACAAGATAGGCTACCTGTTTTGTTTTGTTTTTTAAGCACAAACTCCTCTGTAGGCATTTACACTTCTCTCAAAGTCATAGTTTAGAATTCAACAGCACAGGAACACATGGATAACTTGATTTAGACTTTTTTGTAGCTCGGGATGAGAAAGGTAAGACACTTCTCTGGGTGAAATAGACACATTTATTTATTTATTTTACCTTGTTCTAGATCTATCACTACATCTTGATGGGTCTTCTTTACGACTGATGAACAATAATGCAACTAGTTTGCTTGTATTCTAATGTAATGGATTTCCCTACAGGCTCTGTGGTTTTATTTATCTTTCTTCTTTCTAAATGGTGCCTCATTGACAGGTGCTAAAACATATGCTTCAACACAATGATTTCTTCTGTTTTTATTTCACTTATATTTGTAGGTTATGAAGCTGATCTTGGTGCAGCTGTAGTTCCAAGTGCCCTTCAATCATTCTGAGGGTGGTACTCAGAAACTAGGACTTCTGAGATTTATCTTCACCTACAGTGCCTTCAGGGCTTCTACCTACAAAACATAACAGGTAAGCTCTACTAAAGGAAGATTTTCATCTGAATAAGAAATCGATTTAAACATCTTAAAATGTAATTCGAATTAATAGTCATTTCACAGCAGGTGAAAAGAGAACTGTTACTCTGCAGGATGGTGGAACAATAATGGAATAATAATTATATTCTGTCTCCATTTCAGTTATTATGCATATATAATTAGTGGAGCTTTGATTTTTTTTTCTTTTTTGTATAACGTTGATGCTTTTTGAATATTCTTTTTCTGCAACCTCTGAATATAGACCTCACTGAAGAGATCTGATATCTGCAAAGGTTTCCTTGATCTCTTTAGTGCCATGTGTTTCTAGAACTAGTGTGTGTGAGTGTGTGTGTGTGTGTGTGTGTGGGGGGGGGGGGGGGGGGGGGCAGTATTGGGGTCACAGAAAATGCTATTAAGAGGATACACAACTTTCTGTTAGAGTCTGACATAATTTCTAGAGACAGACAGTCTTTGAGTTTACTGTGCACAAGTCCAAAGACAAGAACTTGTATGAGTTGGGAGTTTGAAAACCACGGTGCCTGGTTTTTTTTGGTGCATCAGAACTTCAGCTCAAGCTGGAAGAAATTTATACTGTTATGCTATAGGAACCTCCTGATTCGAACCCTCCAGCTGCTAAAGTCTCATATTACTCTTAGCACGTGGTTCTAAAACCATGAGCCGGGCCCCATAAGTGGGGTGCAGAGCTACATCAATTGGGACACAAATAACCAGGTGAAAGATTTTGTGGTGTTATTCTAATGATATTTTTAACACTAATAATTTTTTTTAAGTGTGTTAATGGAGCACTTTTTTTTGTTATTTTTAAAATTTGACACACATTTTTGGGAAACTCTACCTGAAGCAGAAAACTCAAGCTCTGTGGGCAAGAACTTCCAACCAGAGCAGAATAAACCTGCATGTATGATTCTAAAATAATGAAACATATCACATTTTAAGATGTGTACTTAATTAAGCTGTTTCTCACCTCTCCTTCAAACTGTATTTGGCTTTCCTCGGGTTTGGATCCAGTAGCGGCCCAAACCAGGCTGCTTTTATAATCAAGATCCCGAAGTAATGTGCCAACTGCAGTACAAAGGAGGGGCACATTGGGAAAGTGTTGGGTGATGTGTTGATTTTAAACAGTCTGAGATTATGTTCATTAATATGCTTTTTGTTTAAACACTGTTTACCTATTTACAGTTTTCTTTTGGATAACAGATGAAACACAGTTATGAAATATTTCCTGGAGTGAACTTGAGGATACATAGAGGACGAGTTTAGCTTCTTGTAAGGGTCAGACAATGGTGTCAAACAGTGGCTGTACTTCAGGGCCGCCCTGAAATGAAAGTGTTTTTGTCTTTTGTATATTTAGTTGGCAATTTGTCATATTTAACTTCATAAGTTATTTTCTTTTTTCTCTAGTTTGGGTTGTTTTCTTAGCCTGAGTTTATCTGCAGGTTTCGACAAACTGACCTGCAGGCTGCACTAGTCCACTTCTGTAAAGGAAAAGGAAATAAATAGAAACTTAGAATGCTGAAGAGTTAAAAGACCTTTTATTTTTGCCGTCATTTCAAGCAAGGTATTAATAGAGAAAAAAATGTCAATACTCAAAATCAAGTGCTGTCTAGATTGCAAATTGGAAATGCAAACTCTTGAATGCGATTGCCTTTTTTGCATTTTCATCTCAAATAAGGTTAGTCCAGTCACCAGTGATTGCCATTGTCCTGTTCACAGTATAAAAAATTTAGTCCAATTCATAAACCAGAAATATTATCCCACAGATCAGGTTGCCATAGATACTGCATAGTGGAGAAAAATAACTGTTGAAATGAGTTAATTGAGCACAAAAGGGGGTTAAGTGTCTCCCCTGTACTCCAAAACATTTGTCTTTAGAATCAGGTGAATTAAAGTTGACACATTCTTCCATTAGGTCCCTGAAGACCCATACCTCTTCTCAGAAGTTCATCCTGGTAGTAAAGGAAATAAAGCACGTCATTTTATTTATTCAATTAGCTCTCCTTCAGAATGAAAAATGTGTCTCTAGTGAGCACTAAACTGGTCTAATAGGTGTACTGTCATGGTTGGATAATTTGCATAAAGGCCTTTGGATATTTTTAATATTCTATACTTCAGAGTTTGAATTATCTCACTGGTTTAGACCCCTGTTTAGGCTAATTGTAACCAGCTAAACTTAAAGCAGAGTGCTTGAGTGTGTTCAAGACACGGTGACTTAACATTAATGTTGGATCTTTGAATTTTGATTTTATAGCTCCAGTTTGCTCTCAGGTTAGAGAGAGGCTTGCATGCTGAGTTAGCATGAAAACTTTGTTATTGCCTCACAACAACAATAGCTGGCTGATAATAAGTGGGTTTATTTTGAATAGTACAAAGCCAGGCTAGGTGTGTCTGCCTGATTTGACCTTAAAAGGTGCTCTAGGACTCGACTCAGCTGTTACTCTGTGAAAGGTTTCACAAACAAGGTCATGTTATGCAATGTGGAGGTTACATGCAAATATTTATGGTGATTTGCCAGTCAGGAAGCAGGAGACTGTAATTCGGTATATATGAATGTGCTGAATTGTTAGATGGATGTCATAAATACTGGATTTGCCATACTTAAAAAATATAATTGCAATATAATTGCAAGTGTTTCATGGGAAAGTGCACAAGTTTGCTCAGTTGTGTCATGTAAGTTCTTGCACTCAGTGGGTGGAGCTGCAAA